GCTAAGATGGGTTATGGGTCTGAAGATGTTGTAATTACAATTGTGGGAAGCCAATTTTTGTACAGGGGCTTGTGGTTGGAGCATTCCATTGTTCTACGGGCTGTATTACCACTTCTTGAGGACTTCCCGTTGGATAATAATTCTTATTCTCACCTCAAAATTATTGTTTTGAGTGGAGACTCAACAAGTAACTATAGTTCCGTTGTTGAGGTGTGTATCTTTAGACTGTTTCAATTTGTTTGGGGAAGATTTATGCATTTATTTATTTTTTTGATAGGAAGTTTGAGGATACATGATTTTATGGTTCTTATTGGTTGATCTATTCTTAGGCCATTGCTTACAACTTGAAGTACCCAAGTGGCATTGTGAAGCATGTCGCTGTTGATATGGCTGCAGACAGCGTCCTAAGCATATCTGATGTTGTGATATATGGATCCTTCCTTGAAGAGCAATCATTTCCAGACATTTTAATCAAGGCCATGTGCCTTGGGAAACCAATTGTTGCCCCCGATCTCTCCATGATCAGGAAATATGTATGGTTTTTTATGTTGCTTACTTGACCACACTCCTATATGTCTGATAAAAGTCATAATCCTTGAGTTCTAAGTTTAAAGTTTTTATATCAACGAAAATTTTATGACTAAGCATTCATATCCTTGAGTTCTAAGTTTAACTGAAAGTCATAATCAGCAAGAAGTGCTTGGGATGGTCAGCAACAATCCTTTTTCACTGTTGATCTTTGTGCTCCTCATAAATTCCTCTATATATCTTTTTCCACTTAACTATTTCAACCTCCTCATGATTTTTTCTTATTTCTTGGACACATTGATACAATTGCTCATGCCAGTATTAAAACCTCAGAAATTTTTGTCCCCTATCTGGCATACAAAACTAAAAAAGGGGCTAAGTTCCTGTTATGTGAAAAGATTGGTACAATTTGATTTCTCCTTTGAATGAGCATTCTCCCCATCAATGGACTTTCAGACCCTTAAGAAAAGGTCCTGTTAGAATGGATGCTGATTTTAATGTCAAATTCACTTTATCATACATCTTGGTGTTAAGTGGCTAAGATTATCTGGAAACTGTTGATTTTGGGTCATAGAATCTAATGGATTGAAATGTGGGGTATGAAATATGTTGCTATGTAACAATGATTGCTTTCTATGCATCTCAAACATTAAGATTGTGAATCTACATGAATTCCTTTTTGTTTAGTTTTGGATTGTTAAATTGTTGTATATCTTTGCTTCATTGGAGGACTACTAACTGTATTTGCAATAACAAATAGGTTGATGATAGAGTCAACGGCTACCTTTTCCCTAAGGAAAATATCAGGGTTCTTTCACAAATCATTTTGCAAGTTATTTCGAAAGGAAAGTTATCACCTCTAGCTCGCAACATTGCCTTAATAGGGAGAGGTACTGCAAAAAGCATGCTGGTGTCGGAAACTATTGAAGGATATGCTTCGCTTCTTGAAAATGTTCTCATGCTCCCATCGGAAGTTGCACCACCCAGGGCTGTTGCAGAAATCCCTCCAAAATTGAAAGAACAATGGCAATGGCACTTATTTGAAACAGTATCAAATTTAACATATCTTGATAGAAATTTGAGAAGTCACACATTTTTAGATGACTTCGAGGAGCAGTATAATCGTACTCAACAGCAGACATTTAATGCTATCACTGCAACCAATTATTCATTTCTATACAGTATATGGGCCGAAGAAAAATACAGTCAGATGGTGAATTCCAAAAAAAGAAGAGAGGAAGAAATGGTAAGGACTATAGTGTGCAGTAATTTATTTGTTTCTCAATATGGATTCAACTAGTTTGCTGCCACTTTTATTTGCTGTTGGTGCTATGTCTATTTATATATGCACACACTTTAAAATCTTGTGCAGTTAAAGGATAGAAGTGATCAATCCCATGGAACATGGGAGGAAGTGTATCGAAATGCCAAAAGAATTGACCGGTCCAAGAATGATTTGCATGAAAGGGATGAAAGGGAGCTTGAGAGGATAGGCCAACCATTGTGTATATATGAACCTTACTTTGGTGAGGGGACCTGGCCTTTTTTACACCTAAAATCTCTTTATCGGGGAATCGGGTTGGTGAGTTCTGTAATATCTCATATATTGTATTCATTTTATAGAGTTATTTGAACATTATATGATATAAATGCACATGTGCAATACAATTGTTTTGTCCAAAACATTGATGTTAGTAAAGTGTATGCTGCGCAAACTATGTTGCCATTTTCTTGTTAGCTGAGGCTTTAAATCTCCTATTTGTCTCGTCATTGTTGTCAATATAGTAGAGACGCCTTTGAATTTCTCTCTGACTATTGCATAAAATAAATTCTTGTAGTCCACTAAAGGTCGAAGACCTAGGACCGATGATGTTGATGCACCTTCTCGTCTTCCACTTCTTAATAACCCTTATTATCGAGATCTACTTGGTGAATATGGAGCCTTCTTTGCCATTGCAAACCGGATTGATCGTATACATAAAAATGCTTGGATAGGGTTTCAGTCATGGAGAATAACAGCAAGGAAGGTATTGGATCTCTCTGTCTCTCTGTCTTCTCTATCTCTGTCTCTCTGTCTCTGTCTCCACGTCTCCCTGAAGTTTATTAATTTTGCCTTACATTTGTACACATGATTTCAACAAACTTTTGAGCACCTACCAGTGCTCATTCTGCATCTTTGTTTTGTCCTCTTGGGTCTTGTTGGAAGTTGGATATTGGGCATTATCAGTTTTATATTCATGGCATGTTGGAAGGCAGCTTTTGGTCTATTTCAGCTGGCCTGGGAACCAGTAAAACTCTAGGTTTCGTAGTGCCGTCATCATGGATCAAGTAATAATACCTAATAGAACGTGATTCCATTTTAGTTTTTTTTTTTAATTTTTGCTGGGAACAATTAATAACAAGAAGTATCAATATGATAATAGTCTTAGCCATATAGCGAGATTCAAAACATTTTTTTTTTCATTCTATTTTTTTAAGCAATAATAGTCTTACAACATTGGTAGAGTACATTAATAACAAGAAGCATTGACTTGATGGCATAAACTATACCAGCCAGTGCAACAGATGATTGCATATGTATTAATACAATTAATAACAAGAGGCATCATGTGTATGTAATCAGTCACGTATGTATGATGGCTAGGAAGCCTAGGATACTTCATGTCATCATGTCAATGCCTAATGTTGTTGCACTCTACAAATGATGTATAACTACTGTTGCTTTTAAAATAAAATACCAAAGAAAAAAAGTGACAACAAATAAATTGTATAATAAACCTTCTCAAAGTTTGGATAGAAGAGAACTTTGTACCAAGTGGACTGAATGGTTGTGTCTGGTATCTCCACTTTTGCGGGTATTCTTAGAGCTCAGTCTCCAAATTCGAAAGAGAGTGGAAAAATGTTTAAACAAAGCAATGAGTTATTTTCCTCTTTCTGCATTTTCTTTTATATAGGATCCTTTATATCTAATATGGGGGATTGTGATTGGAACAGGCATCTTTATCTGGAATAGCTGAAAATGCATTGATAGATGCTATTCAAACACGAAGGCATGGGGATGCACTGTACTTTTGGGTGCGTATGGATGATGATCCACGGAATGATCTGAGACAAGATTTTTGGTCATTCTGTGATGGTATAAATGCTGGAAACTGCACGTAAGACTGGTGATCCTTTAGTTGATTCTTGTTATAAATTTTGCTCATAACTCTCTCTCTCTCTCTCTGTGTCTCTGTCTCTGTCTCTTTCTCTGTCTCTGTCTCCCTCTCTTAATGTCTGTTGAAGAATCTTTCACCTAATCTCTCCACATGGTAAATTAAAGGTTTGCTTTTTCGGAGGCTTTTAAAAGGATGTATGGCTTAAAGTACAATATAGAATCTTTACCGCCCATGCCTGTGGATGGGGACACGTGGTCTGTCATGCATAGCTGGGCTTTGCCAACGAAGTCCTTCCTAGAGTTTGTAATGTTTTCCAGGTAGGAGATTTTGCACTTGTGGGCATCTTTACAGAGATGCTCTTACTTATCTACTTAGAAAGTGAATTCTTTAACTGTTAATATGAACTGTTCGGTGTGCAGAATGTTTGTGGATGCTTTGGATGCACAAATGTATGATGAACACCATTCAAGTGGACGCTGTTATCTGAGTTTGTCAAAAGTAATTTGCTTCTGCTTTTATGAGTTTTCTTCTACTGATAAATATTGCTTTACTTTGTTGTACTTACTGAGTGTATTTGCAAATTGTAGGACAAGCATTGCTACTCACGGCTTCTTGAGTTACTTGTAAATGTTTGGGCATACCACAGCGCGAGGAGGATGGTATATGTGCAACCTGAGACTGGTGTTATGCAGGAACAACATAGGTTCAAGAGTCGGAGAGGTCATATGTGGATCAAATGGTTCTCATACTCCACCCTAAAGAGCATGGATGAGGACTTGGCAGAAGAATCAGATTTAGAGCACCCCAGGAGGCGGTGGTTGTGGCCGTCAACAGGTGAGGTCTTCTGGCAAGGTGTATACGAAAAAGAGAGAAATTTACGGCATAAGCAGAAAGAGAAGAGGAAGCAGAAGAGTAAGGAAAAAATAGAAAGGATAAGGAAGCGGACTCACCAGAAAGCAATTGGCAAGTATGTAAAGCCCCCACCAGAAGGCACAGATAATTCAAACGCAACAATGGTTACAAGGATTTAATAATCAAATTGATTTCACGGATTAATTAGGATGTTTTGGAAGTAGAAGTTCATTAATTTGATTATTCTTTTTTCTTTCCTTCTAATTTTTAATTCTTGCGATGAAGGTGCACATAGTTGTAATCTGTATGTGAGGTCTTTTTGTATGTAAAAAAAAATGCACCCCTCTGGTCATTAGTGTCAATGAGTGGCGGTAAATGTATAATAGTTTTACTTGCTGTTCCTTCTAATCCCATTTTTCCTTTCTCATTACATTCTTAACAGGAAAAGAAAATACAATATTGTGAAGTTGAACATTTGATTACTTATGACGCAATCTTCAATGCCTCTGAATGTAACCTCAAATCCCTTTTCTTTTTACCTTCCCTTGGTTTTTCAGAGGTAATTTGTATGCATGTGATTTAATTGTTGATTATGGCCTTTAAATATGGTTACTGCTTGCCTCCATATTCCTATAAATATGGATACTCCCCATTGTTGCAAATTATGGTTTGACTCATGTTAAAAATAATTCATCAAAACACAAAAAGAACTTCTACGCGCATGTCATACTTGGCAGGAATGTAAGTTCCTACTTATAGGGGAATGAAGGAAGTATTTTCCTCTAAACATTGCTGGAAGCACGTCAATAACATGTGTGTGTATTTAACTTATAATAATCAAATATTGGGAGCTTCTGTGGCAAGGATTTTTTTGTTGAGGATTGGTTGAGGATTTCTAATAGTTTTTTTTTTTCAGTCATCTAAGAGCATCCACAATGAGAGGGTGTATGTTAAATATACACCCCTTGTAACCCGAATCATTTCTAATGGAGAGATGTAAAGGGTTGTAAACATACATCACCACCATGGAAATGTAAAATAAAATGCACATTTGTATATATTTTTACATCTTTTGCTGGCAGAACCCACCCGAGAAAAAAGAGGAAAAATTATACATCTTATATTTACATTGTTTCTCATTGGAGCAAAAAACGTATTTACACCATCCGGAGGTGTAAAAGGGATGTAAAAGTGACTTTACACACCTGAAAATACACTCTCTCTCCCCCCCCCCCCCCCCCCCCCCCCCCCCCGCCCCCCCCCACACAGCAATGTGGTGATTAGTGAGTTACATATTTTCTATACATGCATCCAATGGTTGAGATTAAAAATATCCTTAACATAAAATCTTTAATGGAGTATTACCCTTTAATCTTTATATATAAAAAATAAAATGCTTTCTGTTGAATTGAATCATTGCCACCATTTGTTTCCTATATACTCAACTTGAGTTTTGTCTTCCTTCATCATGGGGAAGTTTGGAAAAATGAGTCAACATTCAATGCATATTTTTCATGACCATTTTATCTTCATTAACAATTTAGAATTACAGTGTATCATTAAATGCATTCTTTTTATTTTATTTTATTTAATATGGGTATAATTAGAAAATTATACAAACTTTGTTTTCCATTCCTACTCAAAACAAACACGGACAATGAAACAAAGTGAAATCTCAGGGTTACTTTCCTAGCATTGCCAAAAGTGAGAAATGAATCTTCCATTTCACATTCCTTGATAAATGACATGAGAATTAATTTCTCCTTAAATCCATTCCGTGAACCAAACGGGGCCTTATTACCTCGAATCTCTTTCTATTGAGAGAAAGTATAGCAAATTTTGAAGCGTGACTCAGAAAGTGGTGGAAAATTTATAATGTGACAAATTGACAATGGGTCAACGACCATGGGGGCGTAAGGTTTAGGTGACACTGATAGTGTGATGAGACAAGTGCCTCGTCAGCTTGACTTAATTAACGAATAATTTAACTTTTAAAAGTGTCCAACCCAACGCAAATAATGTAATGATCGATTCATAAAGTGATCATAATAACAACTGCTAAAGCTCTAAGTCATGATTAATTCTCTCTTATCTCTCCAAATTATTCCATGGATCCTGAGTCGGCTGACATCGATGTATGTTTTGTTCCTCGAAATGACAAAAATACAATTTGCAGGTCTTACCATGTTGTGGCGCATGATACATTAATTAACATAATAATACTAAATAATAACATATTGGAAAATCTAAATTATCGTAATAATATGAATATATGATATATAAGTTTGGTTTGGTTTTTTTCTTCTTTCCTGTTGGCAATGTAAATGGCTTGTCTTATTTTGGCATCAAATATGTCTGGTCCGTTTATTCGTTTATCTCAACCAAATTGAATGTGACTTTTTTTTTTTGGGATAAGGAAATTGAATGTGACTTTCTTGTCAACGTATGCATAGATTTTGCACTGCGATGAAAAATTTGGTCCGTCACAGTCGACATCAACCTGCAGTACAATATCTTTTGTTGATTGAATAGTGGGCTGCCATGTGCTGTGGGCCAGTGAAGATTTGAGGTAAATAAAAATAAAAATAAACCTATATAACCCAGTATTTTAACATAAAAATAAATAAAAATATGTAATTTCATACCTTACAACACCAATATGCAGAGGTCTTCCGCATTTGTATTTGATGTCAAAGATTGTCGCAACAGCAATACGCATAGTAAAAGTATAGTCCTTAGCTCTAACTTCCAAACTTTAACCTTTGTCATTAATTTATCTTCGAAAAAGAGAAACATTTTTCTAAATGAAATTCACCCTTTCGTGAATTATTATATGACTATAATTTTTTTTCTCTTATATTTACAACTAACGTGGTTTATATAATTTAACGTACACTTTCATTTCTTGAAAAAATTATAGAAATTATAAATACACCCAAAAAAAAAAAAAGAGAAGAAGAAGATTTTAAGCTAATAACTTTAGCTAGTATACTCGCTAAAAAATTCCTCATTCACCAGGTGTGGATCTATAAATATTAGAGACCTAGACTTCGGCTTCTATGATACAGCTAGTTTTATTACACCATGGCCGATCTTCACGATCAATGGCGCCAATCCAGAATAATCTTGCATGAACACAATACCTTTAAAATCACGTTTAATATTCTCCTAATCAATCTTGCCAAACAAGTTGCTTCCACTTCCACTTCCACTCATGCCATTCTTGCTTTTATCGTTCCCATTCTCCTCACCTTTGTTGAAATCAAATTCCCAGGATCAATAATGTCAGCTTCTCCATTTGAAACCCATCCAACCCTAATCCTAGTTTCCATAGCCAGCTTAATTGCTTATTGCTTGGCTGTTGGGGCTAGGCTAAGATTCCCTACTTACGCTCGTACCTACTCTCGCTTCGCCATGAGGTTTTTTGGACTGCTCTCAGTCGCCACTACAAAAAAGAATGCCTTTAGCGAGGGTGATTTATGGTCGGAAAAGGTGTTTTGTAGTCGAAAATACCCTTTTTTGACGGCAAATTGCCGTCGGAAGTCGTCGCAAAAACGCTGGTTGCAAATAGTTTTTTTCCAACCACTCCGTCGGAAATAATGTATTTTCGACGCCTATATTTCATCGATATTGCTTAAATTTCTGTCGAAAATGCATTTTCAAAACAATGATACAAATTCATTTCCAACCATAACTCTGGTCGCAAAT